CAAGGAAATGTTCATCCCTGGTTGTGAAGGAAATAAAGACAACCCTGAGATCTCACCTTACCCCAAGTCAGAATGGCCCACATCCACAAGTCAGCCAACGACAAATGCTAGAGGGGATGCGGAGAAAGAGGAACCCTATTACACTGCTGGTGGGAATGTACACTTATACAACCACTTTGGAAAGCAGTCTGGAGGGTCCTCAGAAAGCTAAATATTGACCTACCCTATGACCCAGCCATACCACTTCTAGGCATCTACCCTGAACAACAGGAACACGTGCACCTCCATGTTTATTGCAGCACTGTTCACAATAGCTAGGATATGGAAACAACCCAGATGCCCCACCAAAGATGAATAGATCCAAAAATTGTGGTATCTATATACAATGGAATATTATGCAGCCATTAGAAATGACAATGGCATTTGCAGGGAAATGGATGGAGCTAGAAGAAATCATGTTGAGCAAGGTAAGCCAAGAGCAAAGAGACAAACGGTACATGGTCTCCTGATAAGTGGATGTTAAATCCAAAATGTTAGGTGATACGACAAAATTAACAGGACTTAAGAAACAAAGAACTTCCACTCATCTGGTCGAACCACTACTAAATAACCCCATGCTGCTGATCACATGTATGGTGTATATGTATATACCGTGATATGTTATAGATAGTGATAGACAATTTGCTCCAGGAAAGTTAGAATGAGTTTGTGACTTTAAATGAACATCATCCCACAATACTGTGAAATTTGGGAAATTATGTAATCAATCACAATAAAAAGAAAAAAAAAAAACTAGAAATGGCGCTATGGCTCAAGTGATAGAGCATGAGCCTTGAGCTGAATTGCTCAGGGACAGCTCCCAGGCCTAGAGCTCAAGTCCCACGACTGACCAAAAAAAAAAAAAAAAAAAAGATCTTTCATGGGATTGTTTCTAACATATTTATAAGATTATGTCTTTGTTGCTTTGTATGTCCCTCCCCCATGGTATAACCCCCCCTGCTTTCACTATATATGATGTTGGTGTATGTGGAGGGAAAGGGAAAAAACAAATCGTTAAAAAAAAGAGATACAGGAAGACCCATTGCAACAATGAGATGTACAAGTCGTTATGTCGAAAAATGAACTTTACAACTTCGGTGGGGGGGACGGTGGGGAGGATACGAAGGGATGGGAAGGGGAAACAAAGGAGAAGACTACAATGCTTGATAAGAAATGTGCTCATTATCTTGCCCATGTAATTGTAACCCCTCTGTACAGCATTTTCACAATTTAAAAAAATGGGGAAAAAAAAGGAAAACTGGGGAAACATAACTGGTAACCCTATTTTATACCAGAATCCTTGGAGAAGAGTAAGGTGCTATGATCTTTACAACTTTGTTCTCACAGCCATACATACAACACCTGTACTTAAACTTCTGAGGTAAGCACTAAGATTCAAGGTATGTATTTATGTATACTACAGGAGCATATTTTTTTTCATGAGCATATTTATATAAAGCCTGTTCTTGTCCTTTTGAAAGGCTTACATGAAAACATGCATAAAAAGATACCTGACTGTGTAATCTATGGTAAATTCCTAGTACCGTAACATAAAGAGAAATAATGGAAATTAAAAGGAGGATGCTAGGAAGTAAACTAGAGCTTTAGTGAATTGCTCTAATTTTAGTTCAAGGTCATTTACAATAAATTATCTTTTACAAACACATACACGACCAATCAGGGTGTTTCTACTAGTACCTTCCACATTCCTTTCATATGCCCATGGAACATAAACCAAGATTTGCCATTTTCTTTGGCTATAATGGAATCAAACTAGAAACCATTAACAAGATAACAACAACACTAGAATACTTTAAAACATAAAAATTATGTGTGAGTTAGTCATAAAAATAGTCTCAAAAGAAATTTTCAAGTGGAACTCTGGCTCAAGTAGTAGAGCACCTGCCTCAAGCAAAAAAGTTAAGGAATAGCACCCAAGCCACGATTTCAAGTCCCAGTACTGGCACCAAGAAAAAAAAATGCCAGTGCTGTTAAGTTTTAAAAAAAAAAAAGATCAGCCGGGTGCTGGTGGCTCACGCCTGTAATCCTAGCTACTCAGGAGGCTGAGATCTGAGGATCGCGGTTCAAAGCCAGCCCAGGCAGGAGAGACCGTGAGACTCCTATCTCCAATAAACCACCAGAAAACCGGAAGTGGCGCAGTAGCTCAAGTGGTAGAGTGCTCGCCTTGAGCTGAAGAGCTGAAGGATAGCGCCCAGGCCCAGAGTTCAAGCCTCACGGCTGACCAAAAAAAAAAAAGATTAATAATGAATTACTTAAGTTTTTTATTGTCCAAAGAGTTTAGATTATTAAAAATCTGAAAGTAATTCTTAGTTTCTTTCTCAAGAAACAAAAACAGAAGGAAAATTATAAGTAACTGAAATAAATTGAAAATAGAAAAACAGAAAATGGTGAAGTTGATTTTTGAAAGAATCAATGAAATTGACAAACCTCTAGAAAGACATAACCCACCGCTATTAGTATTGAAATAGGACAATATCACAACTTACTATTGTCACTAAAAAAGTGATAAAATACCAGTAACTGCTCAAAAACACAACTGAAAGAAATTGGTAAATTACTCAGAAAACAACGTGCTACAATTTGTGACACAATAGAGAACCTGAAAAGTCTTAGTGTCACTAAATTTGTATTGAAAACATTCTTGAGAAAGGTTTCCTAGCTCTGGTGGTTTTACTGGAGAACTTTTCCAAATACCTAAAGAAGGATAGATTCCTATACGGTGTGTTCTAGATAAAGAAGGTATTCATTTTATGGGGGGTTTATTTCAGATTTACAAGGCTAGTTCAATTAAAAACTCAGTTTGACTTACCATCCCAATGGGCTAAAAATGAAACCTATCAATTGATTTAGAAAAGGCATTTTAACAATTTAATACCTGTTCATATTAAAATTCAGAACAATAAAAAGGGACTTTTCAATTGCACAAATAATTGTATTAGCTTTGTGTTAAAATGAGATACTTAGCCAACTAACTTATACTCAAAACAAAAAGTTTTTTTATTTAACCCAATTTTGGAAACTTCAAAGCATACAGTATAGTTCTGGTTAATCTGGTAGATGATGACACAACATGGTGGGGGTTTCTATAAGAATAGTAAGGGGTATAGGGGGTAAACGAACTTTACAACTTTGGGGGGGGGGAGTAGATGGGAAGGGGGAACAAAGGAGGAGGCAACAATGCTTGATAAGAAATGTACTCATCTTGCCCATGTAATTGTAACCCCTCTGTACGGTATTTTCGCAATAAAAAAATATTTTTAAATAAAAAATAAAGCAACATAGGTGTTATGTCCCCAACACCTAACACACACACACACTCACAAAAGAACAGTAGGGGTCACCCACATCAGCAGGCCAAAAGCCCTGAGGGCACCATGCTCTGAAGAGGGGCTTTTCTGCACCATCAGGAATTTCAATTTGGAGAACCAAGGGGAACAGGAAATAAGCAAGAGTAAGCCCTCTTTGGTTCACAAACACTTCCACCAAACAGCTTCTGTGGAGCAGATGAACTGTCATCCAGAAATTGAGAGAGAAATTACTTAAAAAGATAATAAGCATGGGAGCTGGGTGTTTAGCCTAGCGGAAGGGCGCCCCCCTGGCACGCGCAAGGCCCTGGGTTCGGTTCTCAGCCCTGGAAAAAAAAAGATAATAAGCTGCTGTTATTTTTGAAAGATACATATGTTGGTTCCAGATCCTGTGTCTTCTATTTTGTTAGTTTTGAAGTCTCCTGAAAACAAGAAAGCACTATAATCAAAATGAACAGCATCACAAAAGGACTTTTCCTAGCTCTGATCTGTTTATTTCCTTGTGTTTAGCATCCTAAATTTTATCAGTCACTGTGTTTCATGCTCCCCTGACAGAACACAGAATTAATATATTAAGTTCAGAGTTTATAGGATTTGATCATATATATTGTTATAAACGTTAATTTGATATATGCACTGGTCCTATGTATACATTAGCATGGCTAATCATAACTATAAAAACAACTAAATTAAAGAGAATTTGTTATTTTAGGCATATTGTATCAGATCAAGTAACCAGAATTCCATATTTAAAATTCAAAGGATCTCCAACGTTAGGTGATTAATTCTTTGGTGTGGGGTTTGAAATGAGAGCTTTCTTGTCTCCAATATAGACACAATGTTTTCTTGTTAGGGAAAGATACCTTCAACAGTGAGATCGAATAATATGATTTCCCAAATAAAGACAGAAGACTAGATAGAAAACATTTTTTATTACTACTTGGGAATCAGAATTGAGGGTTTCTTTGACTTGGTTATGAGTATGGAATAACTTTAAAATTAAAGTGGTGCTTATAAAATGAAAGCAATCTGGCAAAAATAAATTCAAAAGTGTTGAAAGAAGCTGTAAGTATTGGACATATTAAAAATAAATTTTTCAGCTGGGCATCTGTAATACTAGCTACTCAGGAGACTGAAATCTTGAGGATCACAGTTCAAAACAATTCAGGCAAGAAAATCTGTGAGACTCCTATCTCTAGTTAAAACCAGCAAAAAGCTAGAAGTGGAGTTAAGGCTGTAGTGATCGTGCTAGTCTTGTGTGAATAAGCTAAGAGTGCCCAGGCCCTGAGTTGAGATCCCAGGAAAGTGCGTGCATGCTTGCGCATGTGCACACACAAGGATAGCCCAGGATAAGTGAAATCAAGAGGGTGATCCAATAGTGTTTTCCAATTTTCGTGCTAGTTAGAAGTAAGGGCAATTGGGGAGGGGGTGGGGAGGATGGGAAGGGATGGGAAGGGGAAACAAAGGAGGAGGCTACAATGCTTGATAAGAAATGTACTCATTATCTTGCCCATGTAATTGTAACCCCTCTTCAGTATTTTCACAATTTAAAAAAAAAGGGGGGGGGCAATTAAAGGGTTTAAAATACCTTTGGAAGGGAACTGGGACAATAGAGCTTCATTCACTTGGACCTTGGAACCCAGTATAAACCCATGCTGGGACCTTGAGTTAGACTTTATGAGTTTAGCTCTGTATTGCTGCCTGTGAAATCTTGGCTAGGTTGAGACTGAATGTTTAAGAAATGAACATAATGCTATTTTGCCTAAGGGCCGTAGTACTGGGTGAAAGGACCAAGAAAATGACTTTTTTTTTTTTTGGACTGAGGAAGACACAATATATTAGCTAATGTAATAAATGACAGGTCCAGAATTTAGGTTTCAAACACACACACACACACACACACACACACAATATGGTTACATCTTGAGCCAGAGCAAAGATGGCTAGGCCCCTAATCTATTTTAAGATACATCCTCAGTGACTTGAGAACCTCTTGTTAGGTTCCCCCTCTCAATGCCACCCTGGAGAACCAAGTTTCCAGTTGTTGACCTTCAGAGGGCACCAAAACCAAAGCTGAAATGGTAGCAAGGATATATGATGAAAAACAAAGTAATGTCCACTCTTAGCACTTTTTGCAACATAGTACTATAAAGCAAGAAAACAAGAGAAGGCACAGGATTACAAGAGAAGACTGCAGATTATGTGATTGCCTCACATGAAGTTCCAAGAAATCAAAATTCAGTACGATTGCAGGATACAAGGTCAGGAAGGGTCTATTACATAAGCAAGCAAGTGAAAGATATAATTAAATACCACTTAGGGTTGCTCTAAAGAGAACTACTTATGTATAAATGTGCCAAAACGTGTAGAATATATAATGGAAATTGTAAAATGCTGGTGGGAAAAAAATAGAATGATTTGCTGGGTTATTGGGTTGACAAACGTATTCCTTTTTAACTTTGTTTTCTTCTTAAGTGTATTGCAGTTCCTATAAAAATCCTAGCAACTTTTTTTTGTGAATATATGATTTAGTCTAAAGTTATATGGAAAGGAAAAAGCCTTCTAAAAGATGTTGAACAAAGTGAAGGATAAACTTTAAAAAATTAAGGCTTAATTATATAGGTGCTATAATCAAGAGCATATGGTAGCTGCCAGAACGGAGGCAGATTTATAGAAGAGATTCATAGAAAATCAATCTGGTAAAAACAAATATATATATATACAAATATGTCTAATTATTTACGCAAAGTAATTCTATGAGTAGCAGATCACCTTAACCTCACACCTTATGAACCCTTTTTGAAGGTAAAAACTATAAAAACATCTAGAAAAGCTTAGTACGGTTAGCATGTGCTTACAATATAAGTTTCAAGAGACTCTGAAGGATCACTTGAGCCCAGGAAACCATACAGGGCCAATACAACAAGACTTTGTCTCAAAGTTTAAAGAATCCAAATTTCTAGGGGAAATAAAGCTTGAGAAAATTTTCAGGATCTAAGACATTACCAAAGAACTCTTTAAGATTTAGCACAGTGTAAGAGGAATAGTGGATGAATTGGGTCTCATCAGAATTAAAATCTTGTTCTGTTAAAGACCTAATTTTAAAAGTTAAAAGACAAATTATAAACTAGTAAGATATATTTTCAAATCATATCCAATAAAGGCCTAGAATATACAGTCTCAAAACTTTGTATAGAAACTAAATCCAGTGATAAGATATGCTAAAGGGAATGTACAGATAAAAATGTACATCTAGACCAGGCTGGGCATGTAATCCTCCCTCCACCGAGGGCTGAGATCAAAGGATCAAGATTCAAAAAGCAGCCTAGGAAGAAAAGTCTGTGAGACTTCTCTCCAATTAACCACCAAAAAAGCCAGAAGTGGAATTGTGGCTCAAGCGGTAGAGCAATAACCCTGAGCAAAGAGGCTCAGAGATAGTGCCCTGAGTTCAAGCCCAATCACTGGTGCACACACACAAGCAGACGCACGCGCACACACACACTGAAAGAAAAAAGAGATAATACTAAGCGCTGAAAAGTATGAGGAGAAACAATCACTAGTACACTGTTGGCATGCATATAAATTGACCATGACATTACGTTGGGATAGTGGTGCACATTACCAAGTACTTATCAGAGCTGAACCTTAAGCTGGAGGGCCCAAACAACCTGCTTTCATGAAATCATTTGCAGCTAAATTAGACTGTGGAAAGTGCAACTTGTAGAAAGAAGTAACATTAATCCAATCTAGGAAAAAAGCCTACAACACTTGAATATGTTGGTAAATGCTCACAACTAAGGCATTTTATGAAAGGTTCAAGGACATGAAAAGTAAACATGGAATTGAACATCTTTGCTACACTGTTTAATGGGGAACCTGCTAATAGGCCTGATAACCTACAGTGCAATCATTCCAGTGCAAAGTGATGATAAGCACTGCTTGAATTCTTACAAATGTCACGTAAGCAATGATGAATTTCCCACTTTGAAGAGATGCATTGAAATATGCATCTGTATTTTGAACAACTTACTGCTGGGAGCAGTTCTTTTACCATTGAAAAGAGTGCTCTGCTCTAGATGGACCAACACAAACTTGGGGAAAAGTTGTGACTGGCAATAATCATCCATACCAGCTAACATGTCTCACCAAAGAAAAGCAGTTCCAACCATCACATTAGGGATGCATTAACTAAATGATCAAATACAGCAGGCTAATTATTTGTATGGCCAGAAAATATGCTCCTTGTAAATCTATCATAATTTCATAATAAAAATTTAAAATTTAACTCATGTTGGATTAGTCACATTCAAATAGAGGTTAGCTCTTTGCCAGGGATAAATGTGACCTACCTCACTGTCATGCAGTATCATCATGACATTGTCATGAAGGAATGGAGTACAGATAAGGGACAAGGAACTGGAAGACCAAGTGTCAAGTTACTAGAACAGTAGTGATTATAAAGAATGAAAAGTAACTTGTTTCTTACAGCCCATTGAGCATTTTAAGAAAAAAAAAAAAAGGTTAAGCAAACATTTAAAACACACAGAAATACAGCCTCTGGCAGCTTTCTAGTCTCATCTCTTAGGGAACCTGCCAACTGGTTGACCAAATTTTGCTGCTGTGCATCAAAGAGGGTACAACATGTAGTCATAATAGGAATTTTTAGGTTAGGGGCATTTGTCTTCCCTGAATTCATTGCTTCTTATGACACTACTATTTGTAGACTAAGGAATGCCACTTAACTTCATTTTGACAAGGAATTACTTCATGTGTGTATATGTGTGTTCTACTGTGACTTGAACTCAGGGCCTAGGTGTGCTTCCTTAGTTTTCTTCAAGTCTAACACTCTACCACTTGAGTCACAGCTTTTTTGGTAATTAATCAGAGGTAAAGTCTCACAGACTTTCCTGTCCTGGCTGACTTCAATCCATGATCCTCAGATCTTGGCGACCTGAGTAATTAGGATTGCAGGCATGAGTTACTAGTACCTGGCAGGGATGTATTTTTTTATGTATTTGCAGTGGGCTCGATCTCTGACTTCATATGGTGTTGTGGTTTTGTTGCCACTGTGACAAATATGTCAAAGAATCAAGAGAGAAAGAATGTTTTGGCTCACAGTTCCAAAGGGTTCAGTCCATAATCATTTGGCTTTATTACTGTGGGTCTGGGGTGAAGCTGAACATCATGGCAAACAGTATATGGTTATAGTAAAGTTGCTCACCTCATAATGGCCTACAGTCAAAGAGAGGAGGAAGTAGCTATGGAGGAGATGTTCCCATGAAAAGCACTCCTCATAGTGATGTACTTCCTCCAGCTAGGCCCCATCTCCTCAAGTTTCCAACGTCTCCCAAAAGTGCCACAGGCTGGAATCAAGGTTTCAAACATGAGCCTGAGAGGTACATTTCCTATTCAAACCATCCCTAAGGCTTGGGTCCATCTCATGGAGCAAAAGTACATTTGGTCCAAAAGTTCAAGGCTAAAGTATTCTCTGTGATAACAAAATTTTAAGCTGTGAACCCCTGTAAAGTAAAAAAGGAAATAATAGTCTTCTAATATGTAATGGTACAGGATGAACTCTCCCATTCCAAAAAGTAGGAACATTAAAAAAAAAAAAAAAAAAACAATGAAAACTAAAGCAAAACTAATATGCAGCAAGGCAACCATTAAATTCTCCCTAGCCCCATGTCTGAAGTCCAGTGGCATGATATGAGCTCCAAGAGGCTAGGGCAGCACTGCCCCTATGGCCCTTGTGGCTATATTCCACATAGCTTCTGTCCTGGACTAGCTCTGGTGGATGCCTTGGCTTTACTCACCAGGTCGTCCATGTTCCTAGTGAAGGATTGACCCTCCCCCCCCCCCTCGCCCCACACACACACCTTGTTTTCCCAGGTGCATACAGATACCAGACAACCCACCAAAGACAAGTGCAGACTGCCCGTCTCCAGCAAGGCAATCTAAGCCTGGCTGTAAACATTCCATCGTGGGCCCAACCAAAAAGCCCCCACCTCCCTTGACCTCTTTTTCATTGACCTCTGCCTCCTTGCTCAGACCTCATAAAACTCAGCTTCGTTTGCAGCTCTAACACACAGTCTCCAAGCTCGCTGTTCTATCTCAATAAAGTCCTCGCCTGTGGAAGACTGTGTTCGGCCTGTTCCCTTTCTTTCTCCATTTTCCTAACATATGGTGCCAAAACCTGAGAGAGGAGACGTGCCAGAAGTAACGAGGTCCCCTCCACCTGCCTCCTGGCCACCTCTCATCAAACCTTTGATCTTCCACTCTCCCCTCCCGGAGCACAGAACTCTCTATGCCTCTTCCTCCTACATCTTCCTCTTAGTCTTTCCCCTCTTGTATCCCCGGACTCTGATCTCCATGCAGGAGGCTCTTCACCATTTGACCAACTCCACCCACCACTCAAAAGCCTTCAGACCATCCACAGTCTGTAGCAGAGGTGCCCCAAAACAGACCAGGGGACCCCGGCAAGTCCTCTACAGACCTGGGAATTAGAAGTCCCCCACTCCCTGATGGCGGGTCCCCAGAGACTCTCTCATGCTTTGCTGACCCCATTGACACCCTTTAATTAGGACTTTGGGGATACCCTTTCCTAATTATTGGGCACTTTTTTATTTGCCTTCCCAAAGTATTGAGGACACCTGAAGGGCGGGACAGGCCACTCTTGTATTCCTACCAAAATCTCCAAAGTGGGCTCTAAGTTGTTCCCAGAGACACCCCATTGGCATGCCTGCGATCTAATCTTTTTTGGGGGGAGGGGGGGTCCGGTCGTGGGGCCTGAACTCTGGGCCTGGGTGCTGTCCCTCAGCTCTTCAGCTCAAGGCTAGCGCTCTACCACTTGAGCCACAGCGCCACATCCGACTTTTTTCTTTTTGCTTATGTGGTGCTGAGGAATCGAACCCAGGGCCTCAGGCATGCAAGGCAAGCGCTCTATCACTGAGCCACCTTCCCAGCCCCGATCTAATCTTAAGACTCTAGGCTGACTG